GCTAGGTCTGGAGCTGGTCCAATCTCTCATCGTAACTAGCCATCCTCTGGTGGTACTCGGCTTGGTGAGCCGCGTACTGCTGCTGGAACTGCATCTGATGGTCGAGGATATGCTGGTTCTGGAGACGCATCTGCTCGAACTGGGAGGTGAAGTAATCCTGCCCCGGGAAACTGGAGCTGCCACCCCCGTACTCGAAGGTGGTGGGGCGTCCGGCAGCAGTGTCATCCACGTCCTCGGGTTGGACCTCCTCATCAGCTGCACCCTCGGGAGCCTCCTGCTGGACCGCCTCCGGGATCTGAGGTTGAGGAAACCCCTCGATCCACATGACACCTCGCTCTTCTCAAAGCAGGAGCATTTTGGTGAGCGTAACCTGGCCAAAGGGAGTGGTCTCTCCTTGCTCTGTGCACCCCTGCAGTGATATCTGGAAGTACTCTGCCAGGCAGGTGATGAGAGGAGTGCAGTGGAGTTTCTTCAGCTCAGAAGCACTCTTCTCGAAGGTCCTCGCCACCACCGAGCCCAAGTGTAGGGGATGATCCCTCTGGCGCACGGACTGGATGAAGTACAGGGATCTCTTGGTGATGGCGCTGGCACTGTCTGAGGCTGGGGTGTAAGACTTGGCCAGCATGTGATGGAGGAGACGGTTTTTGAGCTGCAATGTGCTGGCCTTCGTCTTCCCCGCCTTGAAGGGAAGCTGACGTGGCCGAGCGAGGCTGAAGTACAGCCTCTCGGAGTCCACCCTTTCTGGCTCGGCGATCTCGGTGATGTAGTCCCTGTCATTGACCAAGTTGAGGCCGAGGGCGTCCGCCAGCTCGTCGTAACTCATGGAGCGTGGTTCACCGTCGAGTCGGAACTGGACTGCAGCTTCGTCCTTCCAATCGGCCGTGGCTGCGTGCTTGAAGGTACTGTAGAACTCAAGCACGAGCTCATGGTAAACCTTCGCGCGAATGCTGAGGAGGCGGCGCCAGTAGCGGTTGGTGACAACGGGGGAGAGGTGCTCGTAGCAGTTCAGCTTCTCCAACTCGCACTTGGACCAGTAATGATGCTGCCCAAACTTGCAGGCCAGGACATTCTGAAAACGATCCCGGTGGGGCCCCCTTCTCAAATCCTGAACAAACTGGTGCCGGAGGTTGGGCTTCGACATGGTCCTGCAAAAGAACAGCCCAAAGTGGAACCAAAACAGCCAAGGAAAATGTTAATCACACCCCCACACTTAAGAACATAAAATAGCCTAACCATGGTTTCATCCATAGTTCGGGGGTCAGAAACTCGATAAATCAAGTATAATCTGAGTGGGGGTGCACATTCACGCTAAAGTAGGCAACTTAAGGTTCACATCCATACCAAATACACCCTCAAAGCACATCATTAAGGGCCCCAACCGACCCCCACAAAATGGTACGAAAACAGGCATTTCATCGAACACCTTGTGTCCACTATTAAGGTAAGCATGAAATTGGCACAATTCTTGAACACAAGGGCTCAAACAATCAAGAGGGACTTTGCCCAACACAATTCAAACACACTCCATGCATTCCCCTCAATCAATTGCACAAAAATCACAAGATTCAATGAGGTTCTCTAAACATGCACCCTAACACCCAATTCTCCACAATTAACATAGTTAAAGGCAAAATCAAACCTGGAGACTCAAGTAGAGGTGTAGGGGATGATGAGGGGAAGGCGATGGAAGCGACGAAAGGCCGAAAAAGTGCCCGGAAGTGCTTGTCGGAGCCTTGCCGGAGTCTCGCCGAAAATCGCCTCCGGTGACAAAAACGTCGGCCAAATCCGCTCAAAATGGAGGGATAGGCCTCTTTTGGTGTAGGAAGGGTGGGTTTGTTGTTGATTTGGTGGAAAAATGACAAAAAATGGCCGGAAAAATCAAAAAGTGTGGTTTTGTCGCGGTTTTCCGGCGAGGAACAGAGGATTCCGGCGAGGATTTTTGAAATTTCTGACGACCCGGCCGTGCTGGCTGAATATATAGGCCGTGTCTCGGCCACACGGCCTGACTCGCACAGCCGTGTCATGAGCACTTTTGCCCGTGTCGGCCGACACGGGCTGGCCGAGGAATTTCACTCGGCCGTGCCGAGTGCTCATTTGCCCGTGCCATATTATGCGAGAGCAAACACGGCCAGGGAAAATTCCCACACGGCCGTGCCACCATCTCATCTGGCCGTGTGGAATTCTGCGAGAGCTCACACGGCCAAACCTATTTTCCACACGGCCGTGTGACATTCAGGGCTGACCGTGTGAGCTGCCTGAACTCCGAAAATGACCTGTTTTCACTCCAGAACGACATACAACTCGTGAACAACCCCTCAAGACTCAAAAAGCACAAAAAATCAAAAAGAAAAGGTAAGAAAATGCCAACCTAGGTGGGGTTGCCTCCCCACAAGCGCTTCTTTACCGTCTTTTAGCTGGACGCCAGTCGGTGGATGCTCAGTGAGGTGAAGGAGCAGGTGCCTTCAAGAGCGGATCCACCTCGCTCTTGAGGTACAACTTCAAATGATGGCCATGCACACGCCGAATGTGGCCACCAGCATTTGCAAACTCAACTTGGCCATCCGGCAGGATGCAAGCGAGTGAATACTCGGATGGCCAAGGTGGGGGCGGGACCAGCTCATAGTGGTCTCCGGCCTTCTTTCGAGCAGGTTTAGCTGCCTGCTGTTTCGGCCGCCACTCCTCCCTGATTTGTTCCTTCGATGATGGAGTGGACGGGAGTGGCGGTGAAGGTATGGGAGGCGGATCCTGCAAAATAGGCAACACAGAAGGATACACGACAGACTCGTGCTCCTGGTGAGATACAGCATGCAGAGGTGACGAAGCAGGACGAGTATTAGAAATTGAAAACGCTAGTCGCTCCTCACCATCCCTCAAAACTAAGGTCCCATCATGCACATCTATGAGGGTCTTGGCGGTGGCCAGGAAAGGCCTTCCCAGTATCAATGGCACATCCACATCCTCATTTATGTCCAAAATCACAAAATCAACAGGATATTTGAATTTGCCAACCTTAACCAGAAGGTCTTCCACTATGCCCCTAGGATGCACTACAGATCGGTCAGCTAATTGAAGGCTCATCCTAGTAGCACGGGGTTCACCTAGGCCTAGTTTCTTAAACAGTTTATATGGCATAACATTGATACTAGCACCTAAATCCGCCAAGGACCTCTCTACATGCAAATTTTCTATAGAGCACGGGATAGTAAAACTACCTGGGTCCTTCTGTTTCTGCGGAAGCTTGTTCTGCAGAATGGCCGAGCACTCCTCGCTGAGCTCCACAGTGGCCAGCTCGCTCAGCTTCTGCTTCCTTGAGAGAAGATCCTTCAGGAACTTCGCATACTTAGGCATTTGAGATAGTGCCTCCAGGAAAGGTACTTGGACATTCAGCTTCCTAAGCATGGCCATGAAGTTCTCGAACTCTGCCTCCAGCCTGTCTTTGTGCAACCGAGTAGGGAAGGGGAGTTTAGGGATATACTCCTTCACTACTGGTTGCGGTTTAGGTGCAGGCACCTCAACCTCCTTCTCTGCTTCTTCTTCAGCTGCTGAGATGCCGAGGCAGGGGCCTCTCTCTCTTGTGCCCGAGCAGGTGGATCAACAGTCATCTGGCCACTCCTGGTCATGATGGCATTGCAGTGCTCATTCGGGTTTTGAGGATGAGGGATGGTCTGACCGGGCAAAGTACCAGGAGCCCTTTGTGCCACTGCTTGAGCCACACTCCCCAGCTGGCTTTGGATATCCTGCAAGACAGCCTGTGTGTTCCTCTGGCCAGCTTCAAGAGCCAGGAATTTACCCGATGCCTTTTCCATGAACTGCTCAATAGTGTTAAATTTTTTAGCACTAGAACTGGCGAGAGAACCCACCAATTCCCGCAGTTCAGCCATCTGATCATTCTGCACTGGGGCGGCAGGGGCTGCACCTGGCTGCTGGAAAGGTCGCGGCTGTGATGGAGCAGCATGCCCCTGCATGGGCTGGTAGAGAGACTGATGCTGCTGGAATTGCCCCTGTCTGGGCTGATATGGTGGCCTCTGGAAGCCCAGTGGTCCCTGGGGGACTGGTGGTCTGAAATTTGCCCCACCCCAGGAGAAGTTGGGATGCTGGCGCCACCCCTCATTGTAGGTGTTACTATAGGGGTCATTGCGCCTGACATTGTTGATGCAGTTCACCTGCTCCTGGGGTGTGGTTGATTCCTTCATTGCCTGGCAGTCTTCCACTGTATGATGGGTGCTCTCGCACCACTGGCAGAGCATCGCCTGCTGCTGTCCGGTCCCTGGAATCATCCCGGAATGATCGATAGCTGAAACCAACTTCGATACCACATGCACCAAATCAGATGACTGAGTGCCCACAGCATGCACACCCCGTCCTGGTGCTCGTCTCGATCTCCTGGCAGTGCCCCAATCGTACCCGTTCTCCGCCATTTCCTCAAAGAGTTGATTCAGCTGTGGCGGTGTTTTGGTCAGCATGTCCCCGCCACAAACCGAATCAATCAGCTGCTTGTCCTCCGGGAAGAGGGCATGATAGAAGGTGCCCACCTTGAACGCATCATTGAACCCATGATTGGGACACCTGAGGAAAAGACTGGTGTATCTCTCCCAAGCATCCCTGATGGTCTCATCCTCGTCCTGAGCAAAATGGGTAATTTGCTTCTGCAGGTCAGCTGTCTTGGATGGAGGATGATAGCGGGTGAGGAACTTGTCCGCCAGGTTGGCGAACGTGGTGATGGAGCCTGGAGGTCGAGTGTCTAGCCACTCCTTGGCCTGCCCCTCCAGGGTGAATGGGAAGTACCTCAGCTGGATGGCATCTACTGGGACCCCATTGATCTTGATTCCATCAATGAGCTCATGGAATCGCCTGAGATGTGATCGGGGGCACTCCCCCTCCTTACCACGGAACACCACTGAACCGCGCAGCATGGTGATCACTGAGGTGCTCACCTCAAAATTGTTGGCTGGGACATGAGGATGTTGAATGGGTGACCTCATGTCCGCAGCTCTAGCGGTCTAGTAGGATCCCATGGTCTGCTCCTCAGGGATCACATCATGGTTCTCTGGATTAGCCATCTCTTCTTCCTCTTCTTCTAACTGCAGCTGTGATAGTGCCTCCTCCGCAGCCAGTTGCGCCTTTAGAGCCCGCTTGAAGTTTCTGCAGGTTCGTTCAAGCTCCTGGTCTAGTGGTAGTAGATCTCCCGACTGGCTACGAGTCATGCACTACCTGCACACAATCAGCAGAAGCAACCCGTGAAGGCACACAGGTGGAAGAGATAAAATGCAGTAAATAAAAAGCTAGAGTAACAAATTCTCACGTTTCCCCAATAACCTAGAGGTTCCCCGGCAACGGCGCCAAAAACTTGACACGCCAAAACACAACACCAATCTGCGACCAAGTGTAATCGCAGACCGGGAATGCAGTAACAGGCAAGTTATATTATCAACCCGGGGTCTAGATCTACTGCTTACTCCGTGATTCTCTATTATCTAGCCAACTAAAGTAAGTGATTGTTGTTTAAAAGCAAAAGCAGAAAGAAAGCAGGAATTTATACGGTTTTCTCAAGCAGGTAAGAGTCACTCAGGAATGAGTCCCCCTAGCTCCTTAGTTAGGTTTCAATTGTATTTCCCTGGGTTGATTTACTGTTGATTAGACTGCGCAAGATCCGACAGTAGCTTGGAATCTCTTAAGCTGACCAAGCCCTCTCAGTCTATCTACCCGGCAGACGACTAGTCTTCACCGGGATAAAAAGCTGAAGCAGTAAGAACAGAACTCCACTACTGGAATTAGATTCCAGTATAAAGCAGTAAACTGGCTAACTCTCGTGTAGCCAATCTCCTACTACCGAATGATGAGACTCTAGCAACCTAATCAGATTCTATCTATCTCAGATTGCAGCAGGAATCAGGAAAAGTTGATCAGACTTCAATTGACTCAATAAACATGCATCATTCGATTAAAATCAAACAGTAATATCATCCCAAGTCATTACAATCAATCCCTAACACATAGAACTAGGGTTCTTCATACCCAAGTGAGAGAGGGGTTCTACTCCATAGAGAGAGAGAGAGGAAAACAGTAATCGGAGTAGTCATACTCATAAAGATGCGGAAAATCTGCTCCGGGATGATGATTTCCACTCCTAGGGCGATCTCCAAGCTCGATTCGATGAAACCCAGCTCCAAGATAGCTTATAGGATGTGTTCTTCGTACTTTCTCTCTCTAGGGCTCTTTTTTTGCTCAAGAAGTCCGATTCTCTCTCTTGCAGCCCGAAATTGGGTTAAAACCAGGAATTCCCGACTCACACGGGCAGGGCCACACGGCCGTGTGGCATACCCAGTTGCCCGTGTGAGTCAAAACGCTGCGTTCCAATTAGTATCGGGCTTCTCACACGGCCAGGGTCGCACGGCCGTGTGGGATTTCCATCTGCCCGTGTTTGCTCTCGCCGAAACTCGCACGGCCAAACCACTCCTTCACACGGCAGTGTGAACATCAGGGAAAGCCGTGTTTGCTCTCGCACAATCTCACACGGCCAAAGTGGTCACTTGCACGGCCGTGTGAGTTGTGGGTGTGCCCGTGTGGCCTCCTTTTTGACTTGCCTCGCGCCCGATCTTCGTCCAATCGACCCCAAACTCGCTCCCGAGCCTCCATTCACGTACTAGGACCTGAAATATCACAAACAAACACAACCTAGCGTGAAATCGGCCTAAAACACGAGAAACCACATCTCAAACGGTGTAAGAACAGGGGTGAAAACATGTGTAATTAACGGTCTATCAGCCGCTAACCGAAAAACCGTCCGCTAGCCCTACTTTAAAGCACCACTACTTTAAAGCATAGTAGAAGTGATCTCTCGGCATTTGTAAGGTAGTTATTTTTGTTATTTTAGATATTAAAAGTCAAAATTAGTATCCAAATGCTAACTCTTTTTTAATATAAGGGCTAATACCATTAAAAGTAGCGATTTTGTCATTTATATTACAAAACTTTATATATTACATTTGTGTGTATGTCATTGGTATTCCGGTTTTTTGAATATTTTTCGACCAAGAGCCCGGTCAACTATGATGTGGACACTGACCTGGCAAAAAATTAAAATAAAACAAATTAAAAAAGTACTAAGCCAAAAACTCAATCTTCTTCTCTTTCGCAAGCCAAATCGGACACCATTACTAACATTTCCATCTCCTTTCTCTTCTCCTCCCTCCTTAATTATTATGTTTCCTTCACACTAGAACCTTGCCTCCATAATCATCTTGTTCCCTCCTCGTCGCACAAACCACCACCAGCCTTGCATCCAATCCTTTTCGCGAGCTAAAGTAGTAGCTAGAAGCAGTCAGAGCAACAACCCTACCCTCCCTCACCCTCCTTGTGTTCATCGACAAGAATAGAGGAGGCGCCACACCTCTCCTCTTCATTCCAGACCATCCAATGTTGCCTCCCTCCTTTCACAAATCCTCCATCGACATGGCCTCCTCCTTGCCCATCCATGAGATTGGCGTCGACCCGTGTTAGTTTCGAAATTGCATGGGAGTAGGACACTGTTAGTTTCCATTTTACTACTAAGTTGGATTAAATGTCATGTCATTTTACTTGTGCCAATTTATTGTCGACCTTTGACTAATCTTATAACTTGGAGCTTTCAAATTTTCAAGATACATACTTCATGATACTTCTACATTTTGAACTAGAATACTTCATATCTTTACATGAGCTTCAATAATAGATTAATTATATGGACTACTATCTTGTTAATACGTACTTGAGAAGTTATATGGTTAGATGAATTATACTTCTACATATTGTTGTTGGAAATCTTGAGGTTTGAAGTTTTGGGGATGGTAAGTAGGTATTTGTTGTTGAAATGGTGACCTTGGTTGTTGTTGAAAACCTCCAATTAGTGCTTAAAAATTGGGAGGTCTTTGGTTGGAAGATGATGCCCAAGAGAAATTGAGAAATTGACTCCACCCCGAATTGAATGTATTTCTATGGGGATTATTAACTCCACTAGCATTGGCGATGAAGTCTACTTGCTCTTGGGGTGCTTTCGCCTCTAACATCGCTTAGCATTCATCCATAGCATGATTAGGACTTTGGCACCACTAACAAAGGTGCACTTAAACTTTAGGCCGACTACTCGTAGCATTATCATTGGTCTTGATCAAGTCATCGGTCTTCTTGGATTAGCCTATTGTAGAAGGTCCCAACCTTACCTTAAAATGGTCATCAAATTCATGGTGGGGCATTCGAGGAATAACCTAGTGTGCCTTATCCAAGTGTCCTAGAGTGTCTCTTCATCTTCTTAATCAAAGTTGGTGATAGCTCGTCGAAGTTTGATGGTCTGTGATGGTGGAAAGTACCTCATCATGAACTTCCCCGTAACGTCCTCCCAAGATGTGATGGATATGAGAGCTTGGTTGTTGATCCATAACCTTGCTCTTCCACTCAATGAATATGGAAGAAACCTTAGATGAAGCGCCTCTTGAGGAACACCCTTCACCATAATCTTGCCCATAAGTTCGAAGAACCGATTAATGTCGTCTCTTGGAGCCTCAGGGTTGATAGAGGGGAACTGAATATTGTTTTGGCTCATGGAGATGTCGTTTGTATTGGCTTTGAAGTTGTTGGAGGCAACAGGAGGATGTCAGATGCTCACTTAGATGTCTTCAAGACTTGGGGTAAAGTAATACCCCATTGTCCTCGTCGGTTCCTCTGCAATATTCTGTTGATTGTAAAATTGGTTCTCTTCCGTCTTGGCTTCAACTTCGATCTCAACTTCAACTTCTCCTTCTTCTTGCTCCAGGGAGTTATAAGAGGTTAACCTCTCCCGAGATTTCCTTAGTTTTCTCTCCTTGTAAGATGGTGCAAGGTACGGTTAATGTTGTGTTCTATCGGGTGCGAGTCTCTCATGTTGCTCCAAGTCATACACCTATATCACAACTCAACAAACAAACACGCAACACAAAACAAAAACTAGAGTAACAAATAGTCCACTTCTCCTCATAACTTGTTGTGATCCCTTGCAACGACGATCGAGTGCAATATAGTGGAGGTGAAGTTTCATTATTAACCTGGGCGACAAATGTACTATTACTTCATGGACTAACTTGTTATCTAGTAAATCGTAGTTTAAATCAACTAATCAGCTACAAAACAAAAGCAAATGAAATTGAATTAAAAACTATTAAGAGAAAGTCACTCGGGTGTCATTTCCCTCTAATTGAAAAATAGATCAACTAGTGATGATCCAAGCTTGTCGACTCATGATTTATACCATGGAGAATCCTATTCCCACTTGAGCTTCCACTCGAGTTATTCAAACTCACCAAGAAATCCGGAGGGAGAGTTTCCACATCCGACAAAATAGAACGTCTAGAGCATGCCAAATAGATTCCCTCTATTGGAATATGATCCAATACGACAATGTAGCTCAATTTCACACTCGATTCATTGACCCATAATGAAGGATGAGGTAAGTGCTCTAATCAACCTAATTGGATATTCTCTATCTTAGATTAATAGCAATAATGGGAAGGATTTAGTCAATACTCAAACCAATTCCATGAAATACCTCAATTCTATATATAATCAAGAGTTCAAACAACAAAGGAAATCAAGTGATAAAGTCTTATGATGGTCTAGGGTTTTATTCCACAAGGTTTTATAATGAATAAATACTCACACCATACCATCCATGCTCGAACAAGAATAAGAAAGACTTTTAGGGGTTTTATTCAAGTAAAGCAAACTTAAGTAAAACAAGCAATGGAAAGTAAAAGTTGTTTAGGGGATTTACAAGTTATATAGATGCATAAAAGTAAAGATATATTATTGAATAGAAAATCATACTCGAGTTCAACACACATATCAACACTCATTCATATCATGAATCAATAACTCATCCATAGAATCACTTTATCCCTTCTACTAAGGCCATTCTACTAGAGCTTTCGCCACATGCAATAGGAACTTGGATAGCTAGTGCGTGCTTTCGCTTCATGCCATCACCTAATTAATGAAGAACAAAGAAGTGTTGATAGCACATGATTAAGTGTGGGCCTCTTGAGCGTTAATCGGTGGTCTATAGCCTCGTTGATCTAACAATCAAGAATTGATACGACTTGAGTTATAGATGGTTGATCTTTCTCTCTATACTCATGTAGCACCAATGGGATATCACCATGATAGAACTCGGGGAATCGAGTTCTATCTAGGGATT